AAAATCAAACAAATAACATACTTGATTGGTTTTTTATGCCTGTATCTTGTATTATGAGCAGCTACTTTGAAGAAAACAATTCACAAGGTACTGAATATTGTTGATTTCTTACAATCTTGTTTTGAAATTTTGTACTACTGTTCTCATAATTTTTTCTTTAAAATAAAATTATAAAAAATAAATGATTTCAATAGAAAAAATCTTTTTTGCTGTTGAAAATTCAAACCTTTGAAATAAATAATGGAGACCCTAAAGACTTAAAAACTAACAAACAACAAAAACCTAAGATGTTAGGTGAGAAATGAACAAGGTGATAGGTACTCATTCAATTGTCAGGCTATAACATGGAAGTCACTTTGTGACATTTGTGCTAGTGTCGCTGATAACACCAGTACAGGAAATAGCTGGAAAAAAACACACAGTTAGAAAAATTAGGTTACTGAATCCAAGAAAATGCTATCTGTTTGCCACACCAAATTAAAAGCTGTGAGGAATCCAAAACGCCTTTCCTGCTAAACCAGAAGGGGGCCTCAAACCCGAGGCTGGTGCTAGCAAATCCATGCAATCTTCAGCAGCTGAACAGCATACAAAGCCAAGTCTTGAAATTTATCCCTTCCTGTTAGAACTCAAAAAAAAGTCAAGTATACATCTAATTCAGTTTTAGAAAGCCACAAAAAGGCCTCACAATGGAAACATTTCACTAAAAATAAAACACTCAAGACTAGTTAAAGTCAGGTTGAGATACAATTTCATGTTACATTTATTATTTTTCATTAAGTTTTTATTTACATATGTTAAGAAAAGGCATACAAAGTGTATACATGTATGTTAGAGAAATATTGCTTAAAATCACCTTTTCTTGAAACAGCAGAATTCTACTAGAGTCAAGAAAAGGACCACACAAATTTTAAATGGCATTAAATGAATAAATTCTTATCTAAAGCACACACACGCACAAGGTTATGGATAATGGTAATATTTGCTCTATATATTCAGAATCCAACAAATGACAGTCATGTGTATCTGTATTTATCCCTAATATAAGAAACTTTTGTAGGCAAAGGAATGAATCTATTGCTTAAAACAGAAGTCCAAAACAATTCACTTTTTCAGTACTTATTCATGAAATGATATTTCATTATAGTGTCCAGATAGTTAATCAAACTGTTATCACCTACCAATTATGGACTATGGATAAGGCTTTCAAAGTAAATACAAAAGTCAGTAAAACCGTCTTAGCTCTAAAAATACTGAGTTTCTGGTGAGGAAAACACTTATGAACTCAGCTAACGACATCACACTGAATTTTTACTTTTAACACTAATGAGATTAATTTGTTTCTGGTACATCAAATTCAAAACAATGTTTACACAAAATTGATATGACTGATTGCTTTTTTTCTCTTTTCTAGGGGGCTCAAGGGCAGAAAAAAAAATATATATATATATTTTTTAAAGATAAACTTGAACAAAGGTACATCTTTAGAGACTTAAAGGTAAATGGGGTGAGCTAAAAACTCCCCTGGCAATATATTCCAAAACTCGGTTTCCTCCAGGTGAAGAGTACTTCTCTCTCAGCAATAGTCCCTACATTTGTGATGTTTGCAGCCCTCACTGAATAAATTGGGCTCCATTGACATTTTCGCAAAGCTAATTAGACCACATTTTCAGAAATAATGCATTGCATAATAATCATCCTGTGAGATCAACTAACTCTTGTCTTTCAAAGTACAAAATGTTTCTATGTGTACACAACACAAGCATTAGCCAATGAATTTAATTGAATAGTGGGCACAGGGAAAATTTTTGAGGCTGAACATGACATAAGGTGGTCAGGATCAATAGGAGATAGAAAAGAAGTATATTAGGAGTTAATAACCTAGAACTTAAAAAAATCCCCAAACTTGAATTTGCATAATAGTCGTTCTATTTCATATTACTTATTAATGGGGAAAACATCATTTTATGTTTTTCTTTCCCAGGTAGTAATAATGGATCAATTAGATGAGAATAAATATGCATAGGATCTCGTCTGCTGTAATAGCCCATAGCTATTCAAAGTCTAATGAATTAATGCCAGTCTGACTCCACTGCAAATATATGTAGAAAAGTAGCATCTACACTATAGCAATTGGTTCCCAGAAATTAGTGATCGTGGGGGGTGTTATCACTTATAAGAAGTCTACAAAAAACCTCCAACCTCTTTTCTCTCAGGCTCAGGGTATGTTTCTCAAGCAGTTTTTCTTAGCTGTCCCTGTCTCCTGTCTACAGAAAACCATTTGACATCAAACCTTTAAGTACTGCTCTTTATGTCACATACATCAATGGATCCTGTTAGAAATCCATGTTGCTTAAATATTTCTACTCAACTGGCTTAGGATTAGTATTTTAAATTATTTAAAGCGTCAAAGACAGTGTAATTTGAAATTAAACAAGTCTTTTGGCTTAAAGACAGCCATATCGGTCTTTAAGCCAAAAGACAACTTCCACTCGAGACATTCTTCAGTGTTGCTTTTCTTTCTGATCATCTTTTATCTCACAGGTAGCCATAAGCATGTAGTAAGATTAAGAGCAGGAAAAAAATGCTTTTAACATAGGCAGTATTTTAAATAAAACTAATGAGCATCCTCAATGTCAAGGAAAGACTTTAGATTCTTTGAGATTAAATGTAGTCAGCAACAAGCATAAGAGAAGATTTCAACATACCAAATACCCAAATATGAAATACTGCTAATATTTTCTTTTTAATATAAAATCATGGTCTTATTCCCAAATGATACAAGACCCAGTTTTTTTCACTGACACTCTTAAAAAGATACTAATCTTGCAAACAGGACAGTTTTCATACCACAAACTTACTCTTTTCTAATGAAATTCTGGTCTTTTGTACAATACCTTGGGGCAGAAGACCTATGTATATAGTTGGGATCAAAAGTACACCTGAATTTCAATTATTTTATTATTTTTTACTCATTTACTTGGTTAATAAAATTCTTCCAAAAACATCCCATAATAAAGAGTCTGAAAGAAATGCATTGTCTTACAATTAACTGTTATTACTACTGGGATAACCCAGACACAGCAAATGCTCAATTTCACCAAATATATTGTTAGTGGAGCCTGAAAAATCTAAGTCTCTGATTAAGAACAATCCACTTAACCACAATTAACAAGAGTACACTCAATCCTTTCCAAGCTTCCCCATACCTCAGTACCTAGATTTTCCTCCACAATTCAATTTCATGGCTCACATTAACATATGGAGTAATAGATTTCCCAGTGATATAGCAAAGATACAATCTGATCCTTATCATGCCATGACTGCTAAATTTAGTGGCTACTGTTGCTTTTTCTTTAAACTCTGAGCTGCTTTTAATACTTACTTGATCTGCTTAGGGACAATCTAAAAGCAATTGCGTTTAAAAGATTTGTCTGTAAATATTTCTTTGGTGCATGACAATGTAGGAAGAGAAGGATATGCACCGCTAAGCACGGTGGGAGCACTCAGTAGGACTGAACTTTAAGCCAGAAAATCAATTAATACCTGAGAGCCATTTCCTTTCAAAAACAAATTATAGGGGCTTTGCCGGATAGCCCAGTTGTTTAAAGCACCAACTGGGGCAATGCAATCAGGCGCAGAGGTCTGCGGTTCGATTCCCAGTCCCAGAAGCTGCACCTGCGCTGCCCTGAAGGCAGCATGAAGGAATCAAAAAACCAAAAACCAAAAAAACAGAAACTCTTTCTCAAAAACAAATTGTATGTGTATGAGCAAAATAAAATTCAAAATCCTAATGGAAGCATGAAAATAGAAAAAAAATAGAAGTAAATCACTCAAATTTATTGATCACAGTTTGAAACAATCCAGATTAAAATGTTCAAGCAAACTGAAATACTCAACTGTCACAATGAAGACATTTTAGAGCAAATTATGCTGCAATATGCTACTATGATTAAAAGCCACCTAATCTGGAGAACTCTGCAACAAAAAGAAAATGAAGCAGGCAGATTTCTTACACTTTTCCACAAAGAAGAGGTTGTGATCTTGTTTTAGTTACAAACATAAAGCGCGACTTTTATCTTTACCTCGCATCACAGGTTCCCATCCGGAGGTATTACAATTACATTCGAAGAATATACACACGGCTCAATACCGAGAACAAACTATTTTACAATACATGTATTTAAAGTCTAAGTCCACTATAACAAATACAGTATTAAGGGTAATCATTTTACACATACTCTCCAAGCCAAGAAGAGATCCTCCCACAGCTTTCCTTGGACTCGTTTTTAAAAATGTACAAATGTTACCGGACACAAATTAAGATAAGGAGCAGCAATGAAGTACACCGTATGTTCCCATTGTAGTCTAAGCCCTGGTCTTTGTTTTCAATATTCCAGAACCACTGAAAAGAAAGCTAAATATCCATCCATTAAAATAATATTTTCCCATTATTGCTGGCGGAAGTTACACTTCTGACAGAGATTCTATCCGAATTTGTCCTAGCCTGACTATTCCTGCTTACATTTGCTTGATTCAATTCTCTTGTAATTCTAGGAACCTGCAATACAACCACCCTGGATAACAGGTCCTTAGCAGGACAATCTGATGAACCAACAGAGGGTAGACATTAAACAGGAATGCAAAGTTATTTTTCTAATGAAAGTTATAAAGTAATTGTATATCAATGACAAAAATTTTGCTTTTTACTAGCTACGCACCCATCAGGTATCAACCCACCTACCCTCAATAAGCACGATTTCCCTCCATCTCCTCTACAGTTGCTGCAACTCAAACCAAAACACCAACCACGCCCTTTATGCTCTGGGTCAAGCTACCTTTTGTCCCCCATCCCAAGTCCAAAAACGTACATCTTTTACCCATCGGGGTTTGCATCGGTTTAATAACCCACGCTGCCTCTTTCAGAGGTGCCTTCGCTCAATTCCTAGGGACGATGCTTTCTCCGGGGCAGGTGCGGACCCCCGAGGAGGCACCACGCTTACCTCCCACACACCTGCAACCCCTGGCGGGAGGCTGGAGGCCGGCTCCCCGGCTGCGCCTCGCTCCGTCCGCTCCTCCTCTGCCTGTCGCTCTCCCTCTCTCTCCCGGGAAACTACATACAGTCCAGGCTGCGCCTCCGCGGCTCGGGGCTCAGGCTCCGCCTACCCGTTCCCCCGTTGGCGAGCAGGCGGCTGTCGCTCCTCCCCCTGCTGCTCCGCCGCTGCCTGGCCGGAGGCGGCGGGAAGCTGCAGCCGGGTGCTTTCCCGCTCCTCCGCGCGCGGCTGCTCGCCGCCTCCTTTCCTGTGGCCTCACACCTGGCGCCGCTGCCCCGCCCGCTCCCCAGGGACCCAGGTTAGGCGTCTCGCTCTTAGCTCAGGCTGCCCGCTGCGCGCGGAACTCGGCGGTGTCTCTGGCCAGGTCGTCCCCACACCGCATCCTCCCTACACCCCAGCGACGCGTAGAGTCCCCAGCCCAGCAACTCCGCGTTCCTCACCGCGGCCCCCCACCCTCTTCCTCTGCCCAGCTAGCCCGCCCCCTCAATGGGTGAGGCGTCCGTGAGACAAGCCCTGCGTCCCGATTGGTGCAGGTGAGAGCTGGCCCCGCCCTCCCTCTCCCTTCCTTGCACCCAGTCTCTACATCTCACCTCCTCCCTTACAAGCAGGGAACTCTCTTACCATTGGCTGAAAGTGTCCCCACCCATGGCCTTAGGCTCGCTCGCACTGCCTGCCGGGAATTGTAGTCCAGAGAGGAAAGAAATAGCCATCGGCCACGACAAGCAGAACTACCAGTCCCCATAGAACCTTGCGCGACTCCGGCTGGGCAGGATTCCGGACAACGCCTGGTTCCTCTCGGGTCCTTCCGGCGTCGCCGGAGTGAATTGATCCGGGAGTTGAAGAGGGCTCCAAAGGTGGGAAGTGAAGTGTGTGTCTCGGTGGCCGGTAAGGTGTGGTTGTTCTGTCAGTCCTCATAGCTCCGCACGGAGCAGAAGAGGTCTGGGGTTACATGGGGCCCGTGGCTGAGGCACTGGGGCTTGGTTCTGGCAGGCGGAGCAGACGGGGCTGGGAGCGGGGCCCTATGGGCGTAAGCGAGGTTGCCCTACGCGAGTGGCGTAAAGCGGGTTTGTAAATGCCGCCCGCTGGGTCGGGGCCTGAGCGCCTCCAGGAAGTCTCGTAGGTGAGGGCGGGAGGGGAAGGGTGAGGCTGGCCTCTGGTGCCCAGGGAGCGGGGAGAGGGCGGATGTGCCTGGGGTGGGGTCCTCCGAAGGTGTGGCGTGGGGTAGGAGGTGAGGCTGCTGTTTCCCACTGCTTGCTCAGTAAGCTGGGGAAGCAGGAGGAGGAGGAAGGGGTGCTTGAAAGTCTGCTTTTGGGGTGAATGGGGTTGTGCCCTCTGAGGGCAAAGGAGCCCTGGAGAAACAGGAGTTGGATGTTGACAGATGTACGGATTCAGATCCAGTTTAAGACGTGGCCCCTCTAAGGAGATAGCTTTTCCGAAAGCCAGCAGCTTGATCCCCTGAGGTGCACTCCCTAAGTCTGTCTGCTGTTTTCAGAGCGCTTACACTTCGTGATGCTGATGGGGAAACTGAGGGAATAAGTGAAGTGTCCAGGGTCATACCTGTAGGGACAAATCTCAGTGTGGTGCAGCAGAAGTTCAGGTTCTGAACCAGAGCTGCTGCTGACAAAAGGAGTAAGGAGTAAACAGTGGAGGAAGTTGCAAAGTAATGGTATTTTATTTATATCTAAAAAGACGTTTGAAAGGTGAAGTGATTGTGGGTTTTTGTTGGGGTTTTTTTATATCCTTAGGTGGGGTGAAATTCCTCACTGAAGGGTCCTCATTAACCTTTTGGAAAACGAAAGAGCCATCATGTCAACGTATATATTTTCCTTTTTATTAAGGTTATGTTAAATGAAAGTCTCCCAGAGACCGTTTTTATGGGCAGCGTTTAACAACATATCCCGTCATTGCAGTTCAAAGAATTTTTTTTTTCCTCTTACTTTTCTCTCATTTTGTATAGCTTGAGAGTACTGGAATTAGAATTGTTTCACAGAACGTATTTTGTTATTTTTTAAAATTATGCAACAGCAAGGAATATTTACTGTTTATTATTAGAAAAGACATGCATTTCTTGGGGATACCTTTTTGTGTGAGGTTTTTAATTGGTTTTCTTTTTTTATCTTTATTCTACAGTGCATTTGTGTGTGTGTTTTGGATAATTTTTCAGATTTGTAGAAATATATTCACTAATATTAAGATTTTTTGTGTTTATATTACACGAAGGTTTAAACTTACAGCTATCAGGAAATCAGTCATGATTTATAGTTATATAAGTTGCCCATCAGAATATGTATTTTGAACGCACCATACAGTTATTAGTATTTTCAAAAGTCTAACTTTTAAATGCAAAATCTTTTTCAAGGATCAGAGGTATTATGTTTCTGTGGTTAAAGTTAACAGTTTGTTTCTAATATTAAGATAGAGATGTGATACAATAGAATGAAATAAAATCAGGAGTAATATAGCACCATAAGTGAAGAAGCACAATTGAGAAAGACCCAACTAAACAAATGGAAAATTGTGTAGGATGACCGTTGGATAGATTAAAAAGGTGAGGTAGTTTAGGTGCACATAAACTGGTTGGAGCCATTGGTATTATAACAAGACTGTTAATGTATTTTCTACCGGACAGTGTGGGCATTTATCATGTGTATTTGTTTTTATCTTAGGTCCAGCCTTACATTAAATTCTATCTCTAAGGTCCACTATAGTTTTGAAATTTGACATATGTTACTATGAGGGGTGACATGCTAGAGCTCACAGAGTGATGTGTTTTTATTGTTGTTTGTAGTTCCCCAGTGTCTACATTTGTTCTTCATTTTAGGCTTTTAGGAGCCTTGCGCCAGCTTTTCAACATCCTTTCCAGTAGGACTTAGACTACTTGCTGGTGAACCAATGGAAAGTGTGCCACACGTAGCATTGAAAGTTCCAAACGTTCATCTTCAGTTCATTAGGATGTTTTCCATATATTTTTCATAAGGATTGTGAGGTCTCTGAGAGCAGGGGCTCTGAAATATTTGTCCTTGTAGTCTCAATGGATAGAATAATTGAGTACCTATTTACAGAGAATAGTCTGTGAAGTGACTTGCCCATGTCATTTGACTAGAAACTGGAACCACGGCATCATCTAGGTCTTCCAGTGGCACAACTTTAGTATGGAATAAAAACTTGTCACCCTTATTTTATGTGAGGAAAACACATGAATTAAATATTTAAATATCGTTATTGTTTTACTGTTTAATGTTGTCAGTGTACCTTCTGTCCCTCTTGGAGCTTTCCGTTCCTATCCCCAGCTTTTCTCATTTATGATGCTAGATTTGGAGGCGTTTTTTACATGTTCCTTTTTCCTACCTTGACTGTTCCCACTTCCTTTCCCAGATCTGGCCAACTCCTAGTCAGTTTTGAAGTTTCAAATATCCTGCCTTAAGGGAGCTCTCCCTGACATTGTTTGACCCCCTTCCTTCCCCAAACCAGAGCAGTTTATACCACTTCCATGCTCAAAATAATGATTTTTACATGTTCAAAATAGTCCATATTTTCTTTGATACTTTGATACTTTTGTTTGTTTTGGTACTTAGTTGATAAACGTTTGTCTCCTTTAGGCTGTAAGTTACCTGAGCAAGGCCTTTTTATCATATGTCTTTTCCCACTACTTACACTACCTGATATAACTCTATCCATTCATAGTGCCCCCAGGCTTCTGCTAGGGACAGAAATATTGCAGTGAATAAAATAATAATCCACCTCCTGGAGGACTGAGAAATGCAAGGATTTTCAAATGAACTAGAGCTTAACATTTAGATTAGCTACAAAGGAGTTATTGCCACAATTTAATACAAATTATAGAAAGGTTCTTTCTTGGATAGCTTTAAAACTTCATTGGGTAGTTTTCTATGTGGGGATGACAGAGAAGTCATTTTCATTTATGGCAGAATTCTTGTTTAGGTCTCTCAATATTGAAGACCTTACCTTTGTCCTGCCTTTTGCAAGTATCATTCATTATAATATAGATAGGGAAGAAAATTTTAATAGACTCTTTCCTAATGTCTCATTTTTATCCTCCAAACTGTTTTATCTAGGTAGCATTAACACTGAAAGCTTAGGACATCAAGGAAATAGGAAACTTACTTATTAAACTCAGAGAAATTTAATTTTTAGAATTTCTCCAGAGCCACGGTTTGAATTTGAATCTCCATGCTTTTTCTTTTTTCTTTATGCTTGTTTTTAATGGTGTTGTGTTCCTATGATTTTGTACCTTTAGTATCACTTACTTTGGACAAGGTGAATTTGGAAAATTGAGTACTTATTTCAGAGACCTTGTATTTGTATTCTTGAAAGTTTTCATAATACGGTATTTTATTGGATCTTAAGGTAATACCTTATTTACTTAAACCTATGCACTTAAAAGAATAAAAATATCATTATTTTTAAAATATGTAGACAGAATCCAGAGAGAGATTATATTACACTTCAGTCTTGAGTAAATTCTAAAATCATTTTGCAGTACCACACTAGTAGAAGAAAATATACCCAGTAGCTTTGAGTTTCTCTAGACTTAGACTGCTTTCATAGATTTACCAGTACACTTGCTCGCAAAATATTGTCAAATAGTCTTTTTTTTTTTTTTTTTTTTTTTTTGTGGTACTGTGGCTTGACCTCAGGACCTTGTACTTGCCAGGCAAGCACTTATTCTACTGAGCTATCTCCCCAACCCCAATATTGTCAAATATTGTTTGGCTTTAAAATCTAAAGTTGCTCCCTTTAGAGTTTTTATTACTAAATATGTTTAGGTCTGTCCTTATGTTAACTTGAATCTTGAATAACAATTTCATATTTACCTAGCATAATCAATATGTAGGATATAAAACTAAGGTAATTTCTTTTATGTTAAACTGCTAAGATTATTATGAATACTTAGAATTTTAAGCGAATTTCATGATTTTTTTTTCTCCTGTATGATGCAAACAGAAAGTATGATTGGATGTTATAATGGATTGCAGGTATATCACTCCCTGGAGTGTTAGGCAAAGTGGCAGTCTGACAAATCACTACATTTCTGTCCCATCTTTTTTCTTTGAATGATTGTACACTATTAAGGGCAGGGACTGTGTCTTGACCTTTTATCACTGCGTCTCCAGGTAGTTTAGACTGTCCACATTACTGACATGGATACTAGATTAAAAAAAAAAAAAAAAAAAAGGATGCTTACGGGAGTTTATACTTCAGTTGATATGAAGTGAAGGGATGAGTGGATCATTGTGAGCATTTAGCCTTGCTGCTACATTACTTCCTCATGCATCAAATCATTTGATAATTAGGGTCATAGCTGATAAGAAGGGAGAAACTGATAGTTTCTCTGATTTTCCTTCTAGTCTGTGGTACTGGAATCTGTCTCCCTACCTTTTTTAGCCATCCTGTCTTACTTCAGGATGACCTGGAATCCAGCTGAAACTATTTGTAAGGAATGACAAAATCCTAAGAGGACACTCCTGCTGTCTTCTCATGTTT